TGTTTTCTGTTCTGTTTTAAACAGAAAATAAAAGGAGTGAAGCTCCTTTTCTTGTTTCAAAGTTGCTACCAGTGTATGCAGTAATTAGACAAAGACGAAACATTCAGTAGAACATTTTATTGCCTAGTTGACAACATTGCTTGAATGCTGGTGGTTCTATCTCTTTGACACTACAGTTTTCTAATATGTGTTAATGCTACGTGAAAAAAATGCCCTGATTCCTAGTGCCAAAGGTTCGACTTGATGTATATACCTGAAAACCCATGCATTTGTGCTCTTTTTTTTTTTTTTATGGTGCTTGAAGTAAAACAGCCCATCCTCTGCAAGTCCATCTATGTTGTTCCTTAGGCATTCTATCTTTGCTCAAAATGTTAAAGGATGGTGATTTGTTTCATGGTTTTTGTATTTGAGTCTAATGCACATTCTAACATGATAGAGGCAATGCATTATTGTGTAGCCACGGTTTTCTGGAGAAGTTGATATTTTAGGAATTGTATTTCAGATCTTAAATAAAATTTGTTTCTAAATTTCAAAGCAAAAAAAAAAAAGAAAAGAAAAATCTTTCATAATTTTGCAGATCATTTGGTGTTCAGTGTTATGGAAGAAAAAGGTCCTTTCAGAAGAAAAGCAAAGGGGTTAATGGTTTTGTTGTTTTGTTTTGTTTTGTTTTTAATGAACTAACAAGATGAGGGTTGAAAAATATTCCTTGGCATTGGCCAGTGATATGAAGACTTTGTTGATATTAGGGAGAGCTCCATACATTACCTTTAAGTAGAGTTGTAACAGAGGGAGCAAAAGGGATAACTCGATGCCTAGAGATTTCATAAGAGATGTTGTCGCAGAAAGGGAACCCACAGGCATCTGAGCCTACAGCAATATAAGCTGGGTGGGTCCTATTCTGAAAGCCCAGATATCAGGGCTCCCCAGACAGAACTGCTGCCACTATTGCTTTGAGGAGGGAAAGGGGAGACTAGAGGCTCACATGTACCTCTGGGAAGGTCCACACAACCCCAGTCCTGGCTATGGTGGAGCCTGAGACACTCCCTATAGCTTCTTGCCTATGTTGGGTGGCTGAGGTGGGTCCTATCCTCTCTGGACACAGGCTAATGGTGCCCTTTTGCTACACTGATGCTGGACTGTGCCCCACACTCAGGCCAAGATTGGGCCAAGATTGGGCTGAGAAGATTACAGCTGCTGCCTGACCAGGAAGGGACAGAGGAACTAGGCTTTCTTTTTTTTTTCTTTTTTTTTCTTAAGTCACTTGTATATAGATCATAAATACACTTATGCCATTATGGGATTCAATGTGTTGATTATTTGTACAAATTAGAGTGCTTACATCCTATTAAACAACATAGCCTTCACCTCATTTACCCAATTACAAGATTAAGACATTTGTGTTCTACCCCTATAGATCCAAGTTGTACTTGCAATATCCTCCGTAGGTGTGGTCCCCCTACTAGCCCTCCCTCACAAGACCCACCCCCTCCCTTACCCTCTCCCTCCCCTTTTCTCCTTCATCCTAGGCTATAGTTGTGCTTCATTTTTCATATGCAATTGTGAGTGATTGGAAATTGGTTTCACAGTAGTACTGAGTACATTGGACATTTTTTTTCCATTCCTAAGATACTTTACTAAGAAGAATATTTTCCAGCTCCATCCATGTAAACATAAAAGAAGTAAAGTCTTTATTTTTTAATGCTGCATAATATTCCATGGTACACATATTATACCACAATTTATTAATCCATTCATGGGTCGATGGGCACTTGGGCTTCTTTCATGACTTGGCAATTATGAATTGAGCTGCAATGAACAATCTGGTGCAAATAGCTTTACTACCTGGCTTCTCAATACTCTCAATTAATGTGAATGGCTTAATATGTCCTCTAAAGAGGCATAGGTTAGATGACTGGATACAAAAACTCAGGCCTGACATCTGCTGCATTCAAGAATCTCACCTTACCTTAAAAGATAAACATACACTCAGGGTGAAGGGATGGTTATTAATATTTCAGGCAAATGGAAATCAGAAAAAAGCAGGTGTTGCAATTTTATTTGCAGATACAATAGGCTTTAAACCAACCAATGTAAGGAAGGATAAGGATGCTGACTTCATATTTGTTAAGGGCAATACTCAATATGATGAGATTTCAATTGTCAACATTTATGCATCCAACCATAATGGGCCTCAATTTATAAGAGAGACTCTAACATACATGAGCAACTTGATTTCCTCCAGCACCATAATTGTTGGAGATTTTAACACTCCTTTGGCAGTGTTGGATAGATCCTCCAAAAAAAGCTAAGCAAAGAAATTTTAGACTTAAACTTAACCATTCAACATTTGCATCTATAGAACATTTCATCCTAACAAAACTGAATATACATTCTTCTCATCCTCCAAAATTGATCACATCTTAGGTCACAAGTCTAACCTCAGCAAATTTAAAAGAAAAGAAATCATTCCTTGTATTTTCTCAGACCATCATGGAATAAAAGTTGAACCCAGTAACAACAGGAATCTGCATACACATACAAAAACATGGAAACTAACCTCATGCTGAATAATAGCTGGGTCAGAGATGAGATTAAGAAGGAAATTACCAAATTTTTGGAACAAAACAACAATGAAGACATGAACTATCAGAACCTCTGGGATACTGCAAAGGCAGTCCTAAGAAAGAAATTTATAATGTTGCAAGCCGTCCTCAAGAGAGGAAGTCAACAACTTAATGGAACCAGGTTTTCTGAGCTGTACTTAAGACAGTTCCAATTGCTCTGAAATGGGCTATGATGAGGCTGAGCTGTGACCAGACCACACTCCCCATGCTGCCCACCTAAATAGGGTCCGGCCCTCTCTGTCTGCAGGCCCACAGCCAGTCAGATTCTGAGAGTCTAATGCCAAAAGATCAAAGAGAAGTGAATTCTTCTTAACTCATTCTATGAGGCAAGATTACCCTGATACCAAAACCAGACAAAAACACAACCAAAAAAAAAAAAAAAAGGAGAAGAAGAAGAAGAAAATTACAGATCAATATCCCTGATGACACAAAAATACTCAACAAAATACTAGCAAATCAAATCCAACAGCACATCAAAAAGATCAAGATATCAAGTGGGTTTTATACCAGAGATGCAAGGATGGTTCAACATATGAAAATTAATAAATGTGATATATCACATAAACATATTAAGGACAAAAACATATGATAATGTCAATACACACACAAAAAAGTATTCAATACAAATAAGCATATCTGATAATTCATTAGGTGTAAAAAGTAAAGTGAAATTTGGACAGCACCTGTGGCTCAAAGAGTAGGGCACTGGCCCCACATACTGGGGGCAGTGAATTCAAACCCAGCCCCAGCCAAAACTGCAAAAAAAAAAAAGTAAATGCATTAATGAATAGTGATTACAGTAAGAAATATTTTCTACAAATTATTTTTTCTTTTGATCAAAAATACACCTGTACATGAATTGGCCACATTGGGTATACAAAAGCTGAGTTTCTGAGGCCACAGGAAAATACTGATATCATCAATTTATCAATTATTACATGACTACCAAAACCTGAGTTTTAAAGAAATCATATATGACTCATCACCTTCTAGATATGTACAATAAAAACAAGGAAAAATAAAATTTAGCATTCCTTCATGATGAATATCCTCAACAAACTAAGCATAAAAAGAATATACCTCAAAATAGTAAAGTCCAAATACAAAAAACCACACACCCAACATCATACTTAATCTGGAAAAGTTGAAAGCCTTTTCTCTAAGTACGAGAGCAAGACAAAGATGTTCACTTTCACCATGGTTATTTAACATTGTACTTGAAGTCCTTACCTGAACAATCAGACAGGAAAAAAGAAATAAAAGGCAACCAAATAATCCTTGTTCACTGATGATATAATCTAGAAAACCCTAAAGACTCCATCAAAAAACTCTTAGGTTTGATAAATGAATTCAGTAACATTTCAGGATACAAAGTCAACATGCAGAAGTCAGCAGCATTTCTGTACACTAAATACAATCTAGCTGAGAACCAGAACAATAAGGTAATCCCATTTACAATAACTTTAAAAAAGAAAAAAAATAGGACAATAGTTAACCAAGGATATAAAAGATATCTACAAGAAAAAACTACAAAACACTCATGAAAGAAATTATTGATAACTTACATAAAATACTGTAGCATGTTCGTGGTGGAAAAATTAATATTATTAAAATGGTCATACTGCCCAAAGCAAACTACAGGTTCAGTGAAATCTGTATCAAAATACCAATATTACTTTTCACAGATTCACAAAAAAAAACAATTCTAATGTCCATATGTAACTAAGAAAGAGTCCAAATAGCCAAAGCAATCTTTAGCAAAAAGGAACAAAGTTGGTGGCATAACAATTGTGATTTTAAATTATACACCAAGACTACAGTAACCAAAACAGTATGATATAAAAATAGACATACAGGCCAGGGATGGTCACTCTTACCTATGATTGCAGAACTTTGGAAGGCCAAGATGGGAGAATTACTTGAGACCAAGATTTCAAGACCCACCTGTGTGACACAGAAACACTCTATCTCTAAAAAAATAAATAAATAAATAAATATTAACCAAGTGTGGTGGCATGTGCCAGAAGTTTCAACTATTCAGGAGGCTGAGACGGGAGATCACTTGAACTCAGGAGTTCAAGTTAATCTATGATCATGCCACATACACTCTAACCTAAGACCTCATCTCTTAAAAAAGAAAGAAAAATAGACACTTAGATAAGTGAAACAGAATAGATAACCTAGAAATAAAGCTACATACTTACAGCCAAGTGATCTTTGACAAAGTTCACAAGAAAACTGGAGAAAAGACAGGCTTCTCAATAA